TAGCCCTTCCATCTCGCGTACAAGATGAAGATGAAGACTAAGCTTGCGTCGACCATCAATTGCCGGATGAGGATCCATGCTAACCATTTGACCCACGTCGACGTTCGGTATAATATCCGTCTCCGACGGGATGTGTACGTCCCGTCTAAGGACGATGAGGACAGGAGGTTGTTTTGTGATAGTTGTTCTCGCAGTGCGGCGACTTCGGTCGATAGTTGGCGTATGTGGGAGTCAATACGGCTCTTCCAATCGCGATCCGATGATTCTGGCCTTGACGACGAAAGAGGCCCGATCAGAGCGCCAGTGGCCGGATCCACCTCCTCGCCTTCGACGATGTCCTCACTATCCCGCCGTGATACGGGCGACAACACCCTCATTCGATTCGGATCTGAGTTCAACCCGGAGTTCAACCTACTCAATGTTCCTCCTTCGGCCCCTGTACTCTGGCCGGGTGGTATACTCCCAAAGCTCGTCATCTGTTTCAATCCCGCTCGCTCGAGCCGCCGGGAAGGCGAATCTGCATCCTCGTCCTCTGAGCTTCCGCTCTGGCTCTTGATCTGATTCCAGACGAACTCCAATTCCGCCACCAATTCGCGGGACTCCTGCGTTCCACTGGCATATTCCTTCATCGTATCTATCAGCGTGCTGATGTACCGCCGCTTCGCTTCTGTTCGAGACATGCCTGCGCATGCATGCCAGGCGTCCCATTTCTCAATCTCTGCTTCGGCTTCTCTGACTCTCAAGTCTCGGGAGGCGTATCGATGCACGTTATTTGACTTGGAAGAGTTCGGATCGGGTGATACAGAGGGCACGGTCGGTCGGGGGAGGATAGACTCGACATCGCCCTCCATGGACTGTTTATAGAGGCCATAGAGTCGTAAGCGGGCGGAGGGTGGCGGTCGCGAGGAACCGGTGCGAGGCAATCGTCGGACTGTGGCTAAAGCATGCACGAACACGCGGTCTTTGTGGGAAGCTGTCAGGCCAGTGCCACAGTGGCCATCAAAGATAGAACTGTCACATACCCACAGAGTCCGACATGGCGCCCGTAGCGCCTCTCGCCCTTTGACCGGACTATATGCTCTTTCCAGCAACCTTTGTTCCGTGCAAGTGATACGATACCCTCATGAATGGATCTCTGCTGGAGATGAGATGCGGAGAAGGCGGGATTTCAATCGTCGCGTGAGATGTTGGGGATATTGCGAGATGAAATAAGCGGAGGAGATAGAATTCGGTCAAGCGAACATATCGATAGGGAGATTCAAGTATGCAACATTAAGTGAATGGCGGCCTAGGGTGATAAGAAGCGAAAGCGTTCGAAGTGTGAGGGCAGAAAGTATCATGTCGAACGGCATTTGATGATGAGATCGAAGGCATGCAATTGCGACAAAACCTCGGCCTAGCATTACGCCGGAGTACCTAACCACCAGATGCAGATGCAGTTCCACAGAAAAGTCACTTGCGTCTCATTTTGAGGTGATACCAAAGTTCCCAATTTTACCATGTCCGCCTTTAGATGCCTCGATGCCTGCTGTTGCATTTGCCATCAACCTCCGACTTTTTCGGGCTGTGCCTGACCCTTTGACAGAGCATTCGACTCCTTCGCGCCGCTGTGAGACGGCTGCTCCGGGTCTATGTGGGAACCTTGCCTGCTGTTTCTTCCTTCCTTCGCTGCGTCGCTGGATGCAGCGTACTTCTTCAGGTCGCCGTACTCGATACCCGTATCTTTTGTGGCACTTTCATGGGATGCATGGAGAGCCACTTTGGGCACTGCAGACTGCGATAAGTCTCCCTTTTGAGCTGCGTCGAAAGCTTCTTTCCAACGATGGGCACATAGGCACCATTTCTGCCCATCTTTGACGCCCGCCTTGTCCAGATTATTGCCTTTCGACTTTGTGAAATCCAAAAACTCTTTGGTCATGATGCCGGCTACCGAGTGGTTGCCCTTGTCCTCTGGGCCGGTTCTGCAGTATCCGTCGCGATAGAAGCCGGTCGGAGGGTCCTTCGAGTGCATTGCAAGCTGTCCTCCCGCGACTGAAGTATGTTAGCTACGCTCAAGCAGCTGTAACGTCTGACACAAACCGTTTTTATTCTTCATCATCTCCTTGCTGGAAGTTGCCTCTTTTTGCGCCATGGTGCTCGAATGTCTAGCTTGTTCGCGACGTATGTTCTACTGTGCGGGATGCTGGTATGTCTGGGGTCCAAGATTGCTCGACGGGTGTATGTCAAAGCTATTAATGTCAAAAGATTGAAATGCACATTAAGAGAATCATCGGAGCTTGCCAGCCATTTTCCCCCAGGGGCAGGATCAACATCTTTGGGCTATGAAATCATGACGTTGTCCTGCTTCTTACATCACTATGGTTAGTGGAGGTGCCTCATGGAGCATCCATCTTCACCGATGACGAACCCTAACCGTAGTCGCCAATCTTAAGATCGTGAAGTCTTTATATTTCGCCGGAAATATAGTTCAGGCACGAGATCTCTCCTGCACAGAGGTGCCCCTTCCCTGATACCTCCTACATGCTCAGGGCGTGTTGCCTCGAGGATAGTATAAGGCAAGCGCGGACACGATAAGATCGGAGCAAATAACCTTGGGTACCGGGAATCAAGTCCGGTTAGGCCGTCTTAGTTGTGGCAGCTGTCTCATCCCGACTCGTTTTCTTCCCACCTTAGTCCTTCACGCCTTTACTGATGGCCAGACAACAACACCACTGTTCGAAACATAAGCGCTGATGAGTCGTCAATTGTCTTATAGACCTCAACGACTCCCACACATTACCCAACATGCATCGATGGAAATCCGGAGTGTTCATCTCTTCCCCGCCGTTTACTACCGCCTATGCGCCTCGGCAAGGTCTCCGCACTGCCGGGAGAGGACCGCGGGGAGATGGACGAGCTAACAACTTTGCAACGTAGCTGCAGATCAGGAATACCTCTGACGCCAGTGTTGATCTCCGCGATTATGGATTCTTTGAAATCTCTGGTCTTGGTACGCGTCTCCCAAACTACTTTGTAAAATGTGCAGTTGCTCTGCCTTTGGTCACACTCGGGTAGCCTTCTTCCTGGACCGTCCCTGAAGGCACCGACGTTGCGATGCTTAGAGAACGGAGCGGGCAGCAGAATGACGATGCTTCTTCCGAGGATGTTATGGTACCTCTAGCCCAGGACGGTGCTGTCGAAGTAGTGGCTCAAAATGTCGAGGAGTCGGAAGTACCGGCTTCGAGTCCAGCACCAGCCTCTCCTGAGCCAGACGACATCGAGTACATCTACTTGACATTCGACACAGATGTACCGTTGACGCCGGTATCGCCGCCCGACAGCAAGGCTCAACTTCCGCCATGTCCGAACCTCAAGAAATACGAGAATCCTTTGACATGGTCCTTGACACGGAAGAAGCTGATGACATATCTGTCTTGTTCCGTCAATGCCGTTGCTGCATGGTCGGCGGGTTCTTATGCTTCGCCAACATTTCAACTGACCAAGAAATGGGGAATCTCGGCTGTGGCTTATAAGACAGGCATCACAACCTTCACGGCAGGGTTTGGGTTGGCTCCCATGATACTGGCACCTCTCTCGGAGATCAACGGCAGAAGACCGGTCTTTGTCGCCACCGGAATACTATTTGTCGTATGTCAAATAGGTTGCGCGGCGACAGATTCGTTCGCAGGCATGCTGGTGGCCAGGTTCTTTGTCGGCGTCGGTGGATCGACTTTTAGCACGATGGTAGGCGGCATTCTCGCAGACATCTGGGTCACCGCCGACCGCAATTGGGCGATGACGTTATTTACCGGTGCGACTCTCTTCGGCACTGGTCTCGGGCCTCTCTTTAGCGGTTTTGTGGCACAACGCCTTCTGTGGAGGTGGGTCTTTTGGATCCAGGTCGCCACCAGCGGCACGCTCATCGCACTGGTCACATTCTTCTTCAAAGAAACCCGTGGCACGATCATCCTCAGTCGGAAGGCGAAGGTCCTCAACAGATGGTACGAGAAGCTCGAGGAAGCTGGAGCGTTGGGGATGGAGATTGACAGCACGGATCCCGAAAAGGCTCTGAGAAGGGTTTGCCGGGTTCGGTTCAAGGTCAAGTCGGACGAAGACAGGGTCTCGTTGGGCAAAATGATCGCCGTCTCTCTGACCCGGCCCTTCACCTTGCTGTTTACCGAGCCCGTGGTCTTCTGGTTCAGTCTTTGGATCTCCTTTTCGTGGGGTATCCTTTACTTGCAGTTCGGCTCCATACCACTCGTCTTTGAAGTCAACTACGGGTTTACACTCGAGCAAACTGGATTGGTATTCATATCCATGTGTGTCGGTGCAATCCTCTCCACGGCACTCGGCATCTGGCAAGAAAGATGGGCGACAAAGCACTATCCGGCCAAGATGAACGGCAGTCCAGAGGGACGACTTATGTTCACATGCATCGAATCGGCGCTCATGCCCATCGGGTTGTTTCTGTTTGGCTGGACCTGTTTTCCCTTTGTTCACTGGATTGTTCCCACTATAGCTGTTGGGGTGGCGACTATGGGTATCTTCAGCATCTTCCTTGCTACCTTCAACTACACCGCCGACTGCTATCATATTTACGCAAGTTCAGCCCTTGCTGCTTCCGGACTTTGTCGAAATCTCCTGGCCGGCTGCTTCCCCCTCGTGACAAACCAGCTGTTCACAAATCTGGGCTTCCAAGCTGCCAGTAGTCTTTTGGGAGGAATTGGTTTGGCGTTGACTCTTGTACCTTGGGTACTGGTATTCTACGGGCCGAGGATCAGAGCAAGGAGTAAGATTGCAAGTTCTTTCACCAGAGCTGGAACACCATAATGGATTGATCTCTGGCATCACGCGCCATCATGCATTTTGCAGCGAATGCCTCACGAAAGGCTACCCGCCAAGCCACTGCCATATCACTGGCGGGCACACCGCCAAGCTACGATGGCTAGTTCTCGAGGTCCGGTCATACTACGCACAACCCGATAATCTGGCAAACAGGCAGCAGAAGCAAAAAAGGAGAATGGACTGAGTTGGATTTGAACCAACGCCCTTTGGTTCGTGCGCCCCCTACTAAGCGAGCGTAGTTCTCGATGTTCGGGGCCGCAATATGCCACCAACGCTCTAGACCTGCTGAGCTATCAGTCCTTGAACCTTGTTGATTTGGCTCAATTGTTGGGACATTTTGTGGCTGAGTGATATATATGCATGACCACACCCGTTCTTGTCAGGTGACAGTGGTATGAATGAAGACTTGCCGGCTTCACTATGATCTGAGGGTCACCCAGCCGCAAGTTTGACCAAAGACAAGTTCCCAAGAAATGATGCCCGTGCTTACCAACTATACTATTTGCTTCATGCATCACCATCGCAACGAGCTCTGTCAACAACGTCCGTCAGTGGGATGGCTACAACCATTGCAAAGTCCTCCAGGTCTCGTAGCCTACCACGCCAAGATCAGCCCTGGTGTCAGATCCGGTCACAACCACCGATAGATGGTGGTCGATATGTTCACCTACACCATACTGCCTCACGATGTCATGTCAACGACTTTGGGTCACCAAGATGCTCACCCTAGACGCCGGTGCAAACGAAGGCGGCTCTCCATATATTCGTGGCTTCGGATCTGGATCTTCATTCATTTTTCCAACCAGACATGTTCTATCCATTCAACTTTCCAAACCAACCGCAATAAATCTTTATACCATCTTAAAATGCCATACTATTCTGACTCCTCAGCTTCCGGCTATTCTGCCGATCGAAAACGCCCTCGGCGCCGGATTGGAGAACGGAGACCGAGAGCCTGGAGCAGCACCAGCGACAGCTCGTATGATAGAGCGCGCAGTATCTCCCACGGCCGTCCCCGCAGCCCTCTTCGGGGAGAATACACCGACCGTGGCCGAGATCTACTTGTACGTGCCTGATGCCCGCGCAAAAATACCTGCAACTGGCTCATCCTCCCTTCGCCTTTTTACAACCAAGCCATGCTAACAATCACCAGGAACACCGCCGCACCAGACTCCACGGTCCAGGATACAACCCTCATGGTGGCGCCTACGACTGGTCTGCAAGCAACAGTAGCGACGAGTTCTACCGCCCGACGCGCATCCCGCAAAACTCCTTCCGGCACTGGGAGCACCAGCAGCGCTATGATGACTGGTCCGGCAACTCCAGCGACCGCAGCGACTATCGCCGCTGCCACTTGATCCGAGGGGGCTACGAGGACTCCACCGACGATGAAATGGACCTGGACCACAGAGGTGGACACCCTACCACCCGATCGCGTGACGAGCGGCCAGGACCATTTCGTCGCCGGTGGAGTCCTCATCGCGACGAAGTCGTGACGCAGGCACGCGACGACGATCGCCACCGCCGTCGAGTATCGCGCGGCTTTTATAACAGCAGGAGGGGCTTCGACGCGGACGACGAAGATAGCCCTGGCCCGTCCGGCGCACCGGAGACGCCTCATCAACGACGCGAAGGTTTGCGGAACTCAGAGTGGGAGAGGGAGTTTCGCAGTATGGGACCGTTGTTCACGTACGTGGCGTTCAATGATGGGCTTGATGAGAGACGAAGGGAGGCTGCGATGCGTGATGCGAGGCTCTTAAGGTATCGATCTGTGTCCATGGACGGGAGGCTCCCATTGCGAGGACAGATCTATTGAATGCGTCTGTCCACCAGCTTTGTCGGACTTGGAGCTTTGAACTTAGCTGGCGGGACGTTTGGCCATCACCACAACTCGTGTCGTGGATGCTTACCAAGTGCCTTCGTGACAATTTCGACCATGAAAGTCAACCCACTCGATCGAGCAACACAATACCAGTCTCCAGGACAATTTTGAGCATGCATGTCGGAGCCACTCTACTTCCGTGCCTCTACATCACAGACAACGCTCTTACGACACTCAAACCCCACCGAGGCTCACAAGCAGTCGCCTGGCGCTGGAAAATACCTACGCGATATGACTAGTCACATAAAGATCCTAAGCATATATCACAATTTAGATGACATTGTGCTAAATCGTCGCTCCCTTGGAGTAGCAATGCCAATCTCGTCCATCCGTGATCGTAAGCTGAGGTAGTCAAAGGAAGCTTCGCACATCCACGGGATGCTTCAAGTCCTTCGACTTAAAGGCTTCCTTGTATGCTGGTTTGAGGAGGCTCCTCTCCCTTTGCCTGTGCAACTGCATAACATGTTCCTTCCTGCCTGCCTCGAACTCGAACTCGTGGCCGCTGCGATCACGTCTTCTCCCACTAACGCTAGACAGCGAATACCGCAGCTTCTCTTTCTGTGCAAGCGAGCACAGGCGCATGGCTTCAGGGGCTCCCACGCGTAATGAACATATCCATCAAATCTCCAGCGTCTAATTTATCCGCCAGTCCAGAAAGTGCATGTCGCACTTATCAAGGAGAAACGACCTGAGGAGAGAAGATTCGAGCTCGGACAAGAGAATTGTTTGATCTCGTGTGTGATTCTTGGGTATCAAAAGCTTCGTAATAAAAGAAGGCTCATAATCAGGATGAAACATTGCGTACCACAAACAGCGCTCCTCGTGCAAGCCAAACGAGTCACAAGTAAACCAACCAGAGATGTATCTTTTCGCACGCCACCCAGACTCCAGACTCCAACGAGCACAATATCGCAGAAATGACGATCTCAAAGGCGCCAACCCTGTTCAGGACATGTCTTACCAAAACAACCGCCTCTGCATATCATTCGTGAAGAACCCCGTATCCACCTCCATCGGCACCGGGTCGACACCCATAGTTCCACCCATCCCATTCATACCCATGCCACTATTTATCGTCTGTGCCTGCGCCCAACTCGAGTCCGCAAAGCTTTGCAGGAGGAGTGCTTCCGCCCCGACGCCGGCCGTTACCCCGTTCACGTTGGGACTTGAAGTGATCGCAGCGGGAGAGCTAGTGGTGGTATTCGGCGAGAAGAGGGTCAGTGATTGCCAGTTTGGCGTTGAGCTGTTTTGTTGTCGAGAGGACTGTTGTTGGGTGTTTGAGGCTGCAGGTATCGATTGTTGAGAGGCGAGAATAGGAGTGCTGGGACCGGAGCCATAGGAGTCCCTGCTCATGGAACGGAAGGGCCCGGATTGCGAATGCGAGTGGGCCTGTGAGTCGTTATGTCGGTGTCCGTGGTGGGAAAGGTCGACTGAGCCAGGACGTGAATGACTACTGGAGTGGTTGAGGGCGGCGAGTATATGTGGATGTGAATGCGAGTCGTCAATGGAGTTCCGAAACGACGACTGATTTTGTGCGTTGGGATTGCTGGAATGTACAGCGCAGTCCTCTTGCCATTTGCGGATATTGTGGACTGTGTCGAGCGGGAAGGACTCCCAATAATCAATTCCTGTCTTCTTGTTGAGGACCGGTGGGCTACTTCTCAAGGCGAGAGGTCCAGGTGATTGTGAGTCGCGGGTCTTCAGACCAGGAACGTTGGTCGACGTTGAAGGCCCCTCGAATAATGAGTCGGTGGCGCACTTCAATTGCTCTGTCGAGACGAGAGGGAGCAGGGCGAGGAGAAGAGACTCGGCTTCGTGGAGACGGTGCTCAAGGCCTTCAATGTAGCCCTTAGCGGGACCCCTAAGGCGAAGCGTTAGTACCATGCAGCCGAGTTTGAAGGAATGCGTAGGTGGTTTAGACGTGGAACAGAGATGTTCTCGGTCTGGGCTGAGCTCACCTTTTTCTCTGCTCAGGCCATGTACACTGTATGCCGGCTGCGTGACACTGTGTACAACCCGATCTATTAAGCAGGAACAATCAGTCTCTCCTTCCTGATATCCGAATCTGATGACGGTGCAGTAACCATAAACAAACAGCCGAGTTATCGTTCGAGAGAGGTCTTGGGTCGAGATCCCATTGGCGCAGGTGGTCGGACCTGGGCATGTACCAAATCGTTGTGCCAAAACGATTTAGCCACAGGGAAGACCCCACGAACAACCTCTGGAGATCTGATCTGGGGTAGCTGAAACCAGGGGCAATATAAAAGAAAGCAGTTCCCCCCAACTTCTAAAATGTGTTCGTTGCGCCGACTCTCGAACGGTATCATGGGACAAACTCACCGATCGCCACTGCACTGTCGATCAAAGTTAGCCTCTATCCCAGTATGTGGTACACTTGATGATGACGGCTCGAGTCTAAGACTATCCTAATAGTCATTGGAGAGTATAAAGGTAGGTTCTGTGTCTGTTGAAGGGTCGAACTCATAAGGCACTGTACGCAGCACATACCTTTTGCTTCTTCGTACGGCACCCGTTACAGGCACCACTTATCCGAGAGGGCATCTTGACAGAATGGAATGGCTTTGGAGACCGGAGTTGGGAAGAGTATTGTTGATGAAGCTGTGCGCTCTTCCCAGACTTAAGTTGATATCAAGGTCTAAGGTTTTGTTCCTGAACGTCTTGGGCGAACTTGTTCTGGGATGATCATGCAGCTGCAGGTGCTTATGGCAGTCGTAAAGCAAGATGCTTGTTGGACGTTGGCGGAGGGATGCGGAGTCAGGTGAATACTTGGTAATGGTCTTGAGTGACGAATTGCGGAAACGTGTTGACGAATCGTAGTCTCGAGTTTGCCGGCGTGATTGCGAAATGCCTGACTAAGTATATGTGTTGCCGAGGAGCAGGATCGAGCAGGCGTGGGGACCGAACTTGCGCGCTCTCCAATCCGTGGCAATTGATCGTATATGTACAGTCTCGCGCAAGATACAGGCTATCCGCGCGAATGATTTATGGTTGTTGGCGGTGAAACTTGTGGTTGTTGACTATCCTTCCTGGAAGGGATTTGTCGAGTTTCAGAGGTCGAGCACGAGGCAGGCAAGTAGCTAACAATTATTTGTGATCGTTTTGAAGCCGGCTTTGATGGGTAGGTAGAAGGCGCAGAAGTGTATTGATGTACCGTGCCGGATTGTTGATGATTGATATAGAGCCGTGATTGAGTTGCTAAGAGGCTTCGAGCAGTGCACTACAACCTTGGCGACGACGGATATTCCGCAGAACTGTGTGGTGATTATCGCGCCGTTATGTCACTGCGTGTTGGAAAGGAGCTCTTGGTATGTAGGTCACCAATTTGAAGGTACAGCAGAAATCAGGGATGATGTCCGGGCAATCGTTCGGAGACAGAACTGTATGCGAAAGCGTGGCT